CCTTCTCCAGGGAGAGCAGCGGCTGTTTATCACGGTATACCAGATTCAGTTCATCTTCTCCATATCTTTCTATCTGCTTCTTCTTTATAACTGCTTATGATTATTGTTTGTTAAGTATACTGGGACGATCAATTGGTATCAGAGCATAGCGCGAAATCGATTGAAGAAGTTCTGCGTTTTTTCTGCCATTGATGGTGAAGAAGTATTTCTGGAAAATTTGATTTTCTGGTATTTTATGGTTTGATCGAGCTGGTTTGGACGTTAATCTACGTTTGGTGGATGTTTTGTATCAAGTTTTGAGTTAAAGAAGATTGAAATTGCATTTTTGGAATTTTGAGATATTTCGTAGGTTGTACGAAGGAGATAGAAGGTTTTCGATGTATTCTCGAGGTCAGAGTGCGAGTTCGTCTAATCTCGAGGTTGGAGTGCGAGTTTGTGTAATCTCGAGGTCCAGGTGCGAGTTTGTGTAATCTCCAGGTCCAGGTGCGAGTTTGTGTAATCTGGAGGTCCAGGTGCGAGTTTGTGTAATCTCGAGGTCCTGGTGCGAGTTTGTGTAATCTCGAGGTCCAGGTGCGAGTTTGTGTAATCTCGAGGTCCAGGTGCGAGTTTGTGTAATCTCGAGGTCCAGGTGCGAGTTTGTGTAATCTGGAGGTCCAGGTGCGAGTTTGTGTAATCTCGAGGTCCAGGTGCGAGTTTGTGTAATCTCGAGGTCCAGGTGCGAGTTTGTGTAATCTCGAGGTCCAGGTGCGAGTTTGTGTAATCTCGAGGTCCAGGTGCGAGTTTGTGTAATCTCGAGGTCCAGGTGCAAGTGTTATTTTCAGCGTGCGAAAAAAAAACGAGGGGCAAAATTATGTTTTGAGACCCGCCGAAATCCCATGTGCGCGAGAGCTCCCCTCTTTTCCTTCACCTTTTACAATTGAGGAAGGAGTGGTTCATATATATAGGCTCAAAAGTTTCCAAGAAGTTTAGGTGTGGGATTGTTAAAAAGATTCCTTCTCTCCTTCTCTTGGATAAGTACACTTTTTATAAAACTCCCACTCAAAGAGCTATTTTTGAGCTCATTTCAAGTTTTGAGCTCAAATCTTCAACACCAAAGGTCAACCTTACATTCAAAGCTTCAAAGACTCAACCTTGAGATTTAAAAAAAAATTAATTAAAAAATTATTAATTAATTAATCAAAAAAAATCTCAAGGTTAAGACTATTTTTTCTCAAGGTCCAAACCACATTTCAAGGTCCAGAAAATTGCAGAAACTTCAATCAACCTCACGTCTACGGTCAACATTCAACAATCAACAACAATGGACGCTATATCTCCGTGTTCGTGTATTTGTCAAACTCATTCTTCAAAAGATAAGGACAAAATTATCAAGGAATTGGAAGAGAGATTAGAAAATAATCACAAAGTCCTACTGAAGCAGCTGGATAAGTCCACCTCATTGAGTATACAATTGGACAATTTCAAAGAAGAGGTTAATAAAATAACTTTGGAAACAGAGAGGCTGACTCTGAAAATAGCTGATCAAACAAAGGAGTTGAATCAGACCCAGATAGAGCTAAGCACATCAAAAGCTAATAACGATTTTCTTCAAAATAAAAGAAGTGCCCTTTACCGCAAGATCAAAGATCTTGAAGACTTACTTGCTACAAAGGGGCAGACTGAACAAACAATCTTTTTGAACCAACCCAAGGACACCCATTTCTATAATTCTAAAGAAGGACTCGGTCTGTCTAACCCATGTAATTTGAAGAAGGTGAACTGTGCTCAACTGTATGACATCAATTATATGGGTCTTGGACTGACTAAGTTGATGTATTTCTTCAGTGTTAAAGAAACGAATGATGAAGAAGATGCCAAGAGAGCTAATCTCGGAACAAAAATTGCTTTTGATTATGCTGCCTTGAACGATAGCTATGAAACAAAAGAGCCCCCATTGACTCCTCCTGAAGAGATTCCAACCTTTTACCCTGCAAAAGAGACTGTGCAAGATCAAAAAGAACCTTCAACTTCAGAGCCTGTACCCAAACCAGCATACATTCACCCCTTGTGAAAAAGTTTGCTGAATTGAAAGAAGCTTTTGATAAAGAAAAACAGGCTTTTGAACTGGAAAGAGAACAACTCTTGAATGAAATATCTTTTCTCCAAACATCCTCTGAATCAAGAACAGGCTCACAATCTCCTTCTCCTCCATCATCCAAAAATTGTGCTTCTCCTTCTCCTCCGTCTTCTGAGAACTGTTCTGAAAAATCTACAAATGATCCTGAAACTTCCACTTCTCACTCTGAGTCACCTTCACAGACAAGGGCCCCTGTGAAGAGGAGAGTGGAAAGGAGAGGAGAATGGATAGAGGACAAGTTAAGAAGAAGAAAGAAGAATCTCGTCTGAGGGATAGGAACTGGGGTTCAAGTGCTCTCTTCTATGCCAAAAGGAAGACATCTCCTAAGAATCACTGTTCAAGCTCTTTTACTCAGAACTATATCAAGTCTTTCATGCAATGCTGCTCTGAGTCTGATGCCTCCTTCACTAAAGATTAGAATGTGAATGATCAGAGAGTCCAAAAGAAATCCGCTTCCGCAAAGGTGAACGTTGAGGGAGAGTATAAATTACCATGGTTGAAATATCCTCTCAAGGTTCATTCACTCAAACACTTGAGAAGACTCTCTCAAGAACCAATCTTAATGGATTATTTGTCTGATCATTCACTCACTGATAGTGAAACTTCTCCTGCACCTAAGCTCAAACAACATTGGATTCCCAAGGCTGAAGCTGAAAAGTTAAGACTGTCAAACTCTTCTCAACCAGCTAGTCTAGGACTCCAAATCAAACAGAAAGTGCAAAAAAATTTCAATGCTGCTAAAGAAGGACCCATCTGGAAATGGGTGCCAAAGATTACTTAATCTGTTTCACAAGGTCCGTCATGTATGGTAACTGACCCGATTGCTCCACACACATGGCGGGTATGAAGACGAGCTGTGAGCAATCAACTGGTGCACATTATCATGGAGAGTATTGACGTGTATACTCTCCACCGAGCTGAAAATCATCAAATGCACACCTCAACACCAACACGTGCCAAGAACAAACAACGAGTGCTTATTTTGAGAGGGAGTGTTTCTTTTTCACTCCTCCTAGATCCAAACAACGAAGGAAGCACATTCCAAGGGGGGGTTTTCTACTTTACTCCCCAGGTAACAAACAACACAACTTGCAACTTTTGAGGGGGAGTTTCATTTTTCTCCTCCTGGTGCTACACAATATAAAATGCAAGGATTCTCTCGAGGATGCAAATTTTGAGGGGGAGTTTTCAAAGTTCTCCTCTCAAGCGCAAACCATCGTGAAAGGCATCATAGTGAGTGCTTCAGTTCAGGGGGAGTACATAAAGAAAAGAAAAGAGTAAAGAGAAATGAGAGATAAGTCCTAATGGCTTAGTAAACCCAACTAAGCCTACCCAAGGGACAAAGCCGAGAGTGAGTGAGTAACTGAGTGAACAATATGAGAGTGAGGAAGCAGAAAGCTCAAGTGAGCAAGAGAACAATAATCACTGTCAAATCAGCTACCTCTATTGTGCTATCAATCGAGAGAATTACTCCCAGTCACTCAAATACTCTAGACAATCCTCATAGGTTCAGGACTGAATTTATTCAGATTCCGGGTAGAAGTCGCTGCATTTTGTCCAAACGGCGCATGCACAACCTTACCCAAGACCACTCACCTATCTCCCAAGAGACATGTGTTTAATCATCTTTCACGGGGAACATCATCTCTTATCGTCGTCTCCTTCTGAGGCGACTGCTACTGACTACAGTGGCCCACAACCCCACGCCACTGAACATTCATTGATCACGTCGTGTCTAGTAATCTCACTCCCAAATGTTTTGAATTTTCTAGGACACAAACACTTTTTAGAGTCAGTTGCAGGTCTTCATGACTCGCGAGAACTTCCATAGGGCTCATCTACTATAGATGAAGACCAATGATTGGAAGGAAGTCCTGTTGTTGCAACATAGAAATCACCAACATGTTCAGGCCATCGTTTCTGAGTTTCTCTATAGTGATGATAATGGGCATCTACACGACCCCGGGGGCTACATTATCTTTGCCGATCTTTATGATCATGCCATAAGAACCAGAGTGACACCTACTTTAGATGCTTCACAATGACTGGTTGGAAGTCCTGTTAGAGCTTTAATGCTTCTATCATTTTTACAGGCCACACATCAGTGTTTACATTGATGTTGTGATAACGGAACACCTCAGTGTATCCGGTTTTTATCATTTAACCTTTCATTTTGTTTGTTTTTCTGTTTTGCTTCTTAGAATAAAAGAATAAATAAAGGCATGACGCCCCGATTCATCGGATCGTCATGAGGGGGAGAGTGGTCCGCATGCTGTTAACTCTCAACAAATCATTCTTGGACACTTCTCTCCTCAAACACTTTCTCTACTATCTCTACAACTCAATTGCCAAGTCAGCTTCGAATCAAATGGACAACTACGCTCACAAGTCAATCATCATTTCCGCTATGCCACCGACAAAGTCTCCTCAAACGCATTCACTTCAAAGAGTCAAAAAGACTACATTGTGGAGGAGACAGAGGTCAGATACTCGTGTACTGAAAATGAATCCCGTGCGCGCCTGAAAATTGTCAGAACATTCATTCTAAAAGCGCCTTCGAACTTCATTCAAGCTGATCAAGAGCTGCTTCTGGAAGGCAAGGATTACAAGCAAAAGATTCTTCAACTCCTCGCATCAAAGATCAAATTGAAAAGAAGACATCAAAGGGGAGATTGCTATGATTTCTTCAGAAAGCCCTCTAAAGAAGTCGAGTTCAACACGAAGACAAAGGAAGCTGAGTTCCACTGAAGATCAAGACAAAATAGGAACAACTCAACATATTTTATCTATACTCTCCTCTACATTGCTGAATAAACACAAAGACAAAGATATCCGCGCTGCAATGCTGATTGAACATGATTGGCCACCAAGGGGGAGATTGTTTTTTTTGGATGAAATGTAAATATATATAAACCACCCAAAAATAGCATTGTACAATGCATCAAATCCAGACCAAAATCACTATCTAAGCTAGAAAACTAACCTAGATATAATACATCAAAATCACAGGACATGCCCCAATTCTCAAAATTCATGAAATGAAAGTTAAACATCACAAGAATCAATCCCAAATGAGCAGTAGCAATTAGCAGCTATAGTTAGTAGCAGATTTTGCTACTGTTCCCCTGTTTTATTTCCTCCCAGGTTTCTTCCGCCTATTCTTTTCCAAATATTTTACTTTTTTCTTCCCATCCCGACCCAAAAACTCAACTCTTTCAAATCTGTCCAGATCCACACTAGCATCCAGCAGCCCGGGATTTTCTACATCCAGCAGAGCAATTTCTTCCAGCGCGAGGTCTTCTAAATCTGGTGCAGCAGCAGCTAGCGGTGGCCTTTCCATCCCAGCAGCAGGATCCGGCGAAGCAGTAGCATTTTCCGGCGGAATGGCTTCCATTCCAGCAACCATTTCCTCGACCACTTCCATCCCAGCATCTACAAACGCAATTGCAGGTTCCATTACCGCACCAGCAGCAGTAAGTAGTGCACCAGCAGCGGTAGGTTCCACCCCAGCCGCAATAGGTAGCGCACCAGCAGCAGCAGGTTCCACAGAAGCATCAGCAGGTTCCTCAAATGCATCAACAGGTTCCTCAATCGCAGCAACAGGCATCATCATTCCACAGGTGATTTCTAGTATATTTCTTTCTTGCTCAAACTCATTGTGGTCATCTTGTTTTGTAGAAACTGTTTTCCCAACATTTTCGGTAACATTCTGGCCATTTGCTACTTTCTCCTTCTCGGCCAGAGCTTTACAAATGAAGGGATGATGCCCATACTCTTTGCAATGAAAGCAGAAATTAGGAAATGTTTCGTACACCACATGTTGTTTGAATATCTTACGGGAAGGTAGCCTTATAGGAAATGAAAGTTTAGGTGGTTTGGAAACATCCACTTCAATAAGCACTCTAGCAAAGTGGTGGTTGCTCTTGTCTTGAGTGACCTTGTCCGTGGTTAGCGGGACACCAACCATAGAGGCCACTTCACTCATCGCGTCATCATTCCATAGCTTTAAGGGTAGATTGGGGAATTTGACCCAAATCGGCACCTTTAAAAACTCTTTATCAACAAAAGAGAAGTCCTCATGGAGTGGTTTAAGCATCAACAGTTTCCCAAATTTGGACTACGGCCTTCCATTCAACACTTTAGTTCTATCACATTCACTTTGAAACTTAAAAATGACCCAACCCCTATTATGGGACCTAACTTGGCATTTCACACCTCATTCCTCTCTCTCAACTCGTGAACCGCTTTCAGTCCGGGGAATCTACCTGTGAAAAATCCAACGAGACAGTGACCCCACATCTCGACCATAGAAGGGAAAATTCTGTCAGCAAAGTCCAGTCCATTTTCTTTGGGTGGAACATATTTTAGTTTAAGGCCGTGCGTTAGGGCTCAGTTGTCCTTAAACAAAGTGTTCCAAGGTTTTCTTTCTGAAGTATCCCTTGGGTCAGTGCTAATTTTTGTTCTCCCAGCCCAGAAGAAGTTCTGGCCTGCACTTTAAAGCAGTGGCATTCTTTGACGCAGTGGCATCACAGTAGTAGGAACTTGTATAGCATCAATTGTTGCCTGCCTCCTAACGCACTTAGCAGCAGATTTTTTCCCAGCTGCCTTGGATAGCATAGGAAATTCCTCCTCCATCCCATCTAGTAGTTCAAAACCTTCTTTTGACCTGGTAATTCTGGCTGAAGACTCCACCTTGCTCTGTTTAGGTTTTCCCATCATTTGCAGGTCCAGTTATAAGTAGCAGAAATCAGACCTGGGCAGCCATCCCTGCTTTCCCACATACAGTAAGTTTCACCAGCAGCGTTAAGTAAGTCTTGCAGGTCCCAGCTCAGAACGCCAAGCTTAGAGAAATCTGAGGACAGAGGAATCCGTCACCAGTTCCTAGAGGTAGCCTTCGTCCCAGTTTCCGTACGAACAGGAAATGCCCAAATCTTCCGCAGACCTAATTTCTCAACAACCTTCGACGAATGATAGTTTCACAGGTGCAGAGCTAGCCTTCATCCCAGGTTTGTCTTAGATGGAGAGTCCAAGATAATTCCCAGCAAAAATACTCAGAATGAATCAAACAATAGCAAAAAAAAAGAATCGCGATTATATCTACAGTACAGACGGTGTCGAGCAACCTCATTTGTTGGATTTTTGACCGTAAAACATGTTTGTGACTCAAATCCAACAACGAGCAGCACTAAATTCCAACAAAACACAGTTATAACACCTCACAACTCAAGAAAATGAACCAACCATGAATTCCATCAGCGGAAAAGAGCTGGGGGCGAAAATCCCAGGAGAGCTCTCAACTTTTCATTGGCCCTACCAACGAGGAGGGTCGGGAATATTTTACAATGTCACATCTGTTAGCGAAGTGAGAGAGGTGTGTTATTCCAATAGACAGATCCTCTTTAAATAGAGGAAAATTAGGTTTACACAAGGGTTGGGCTTCTCGGGCCCATTAGCTCAGTACATAATATATTAGTGAATATTCTATCTATAATGACAGCACACTACAAGTAATTTCCTTTAACACTCCCCTTTATGCTGAGTTATAGATAGAGTGTTGCACTCCCTGTAGCCTTGTGGAAACTTCGTCAAGTAACAAAAAAAACCTTGTGGGAAAAATAAACCTTGACAAGAGACTAGAGTTTATTGGACTTCATTCATTGAGTCCTTTTGGATTCTTTACTTTGATCGATACTCACAGTTACCTCGTTAAAAACCTTACCAAGTAACAAAAACCCAATGGGAGAAAAATAAAGCTTGGTTTAAGGAAAAGAGTATAACGTGAGGGTGTAAGACTCCCCCTGAAGTCTACACCTCCCCCTGATATTTACATTAATCAGGGGATTTCAGAAAACTTACGCATTCCAATGTTTTTCACATGTTTTTCGAATGTGGCCTTGGGCAATGACTTGGTAAACAAGTCTGCTACGTTTTCTTCCGAACTTATTTGATTTACTTGGATCTTGAGGAAGGCCTGTTGTTGCTGATTATAGAAGAACTTAGGAGATATGTGTTTTGTGTTGTCACCCTTGATGTATCTGTAACACCCCCAAATTTCCCACCCAAAACGTTGATATAATTGAAATAAAACCTTTATTTATCGATAATGAAAATTTAAAGAAAGTACAGCGGAAGTCTTAATAAAGGAAATGGGTGTTACCGCCACATCCGGTCATCTCTCAACCGGATGCACATGCAACTAAAACATAACAACTAATTTAATAAAAATAAAGTGTTTGTAAAGTAAATGTTTATTTCATGACTAGTATAACTAAGGCGACTTCTAATTCGCTCTCGGACCATGCAAGCAATCATCAATCGACAGAATCATCCTCACCTGCACAAATAAAGTGCAGAAACAAAACAAGGAAAAGAAAACAAAAATTAGCTTTAGAGCTAAGTAAGTACTACCCAACCCCGTAAAATAATCATGTTTGACTAAAATAGATCTTTATATAATAATATATAAAAATACTCACACCATCGAAATTCTTTTCACTTTGATTTTTCTCAAAACTACTTCTTTACAAAACTCCTCAACTTCTCTTTAAAACTTCATAATAACTCTTCCCTTTGATTTCCTCAAAAATCACTTCTTCTCTAACTTCCTAGTAATTTAGAAGGGCGGTGCTCAACCTTTCGGTAGAGCCCGGTGGACCGTGGTTACGGACGGCCACCCCGAACAAGTGCCGGTACCACAACTGCTCTATTGGAAACGAAACGACTACCTTAAGTGTGCACACCCCCTAAAAGGGATTCCAAGCCCTCCGAGTAGTAAGTCGTAACGAGTAGTCGGGACTCAGTCTACCAACTACCCCTGAATAAGATATCTTGAATGATTAGGGACTACTACTACCATAACTTCTTCTTAAAAGGGATCATCGATCCAAATATCACTTTAAACTCAAATTGTACTTCTTAGTAGTAGCAGACCTAATCACCCTCCACATTTATCCGGACGTGGAAAACCGACACCACGGATTTCTCCCGTGATGCTCACCTCTTATGAAATCATTCTTTTATCTTGAATTAATATACTTCAAAATATTTCTCAACTTCTCAAACTGCTTTAAAAATATTTAGATAAAATATTTACCCCCAAAAGCACTTAGTTTCACGAATCATCTCAGAATCACATGCATAAAAGTCATACTTCACACTTAAAAATCACGTATCACATAATACATATATAATACGAGGAAAAGATTTTTGGATTGGCAGAGAAACTTACCTCATGCTCCAAATATTCTAGACAATTCTTCTACTTTGCTCCTCACAAATCTACCTTCTAAAAATATTAAGATGATAATATCAATATCAACTTAGGGTTAAGTTCCTCTGCCCCTTCACTTAAAATTTCCCTTTCTCCATTTGATTTTATTATCATTATTATGATTTTTAAAATTCAATGCAGCCGATCATATTACAATTTAACAAGATCAGTCCATTGCTTTCTTCATTCGGCCAGCCCAACTATGACTATAGTCCGCCCACAATTAAAATAAAGAGATCCAGCCCAATAGTATAATAACATACAGTAGTACGGAGTAATAACATACGAAGTATTACGTAAGAATGAAGTTACATGTACATACGGGTTCGTCGTCTCCGGCGAGCACAAGAAAGGTGACGACGAAGCTCTCTCGATGATGGCAGAAGATCAGCGGCGCTTTCCTCCCAGGTGGTGACGCGTTTCCGGCAATCTATTTCTCCCTCGGCGAGCTCCTCGTTTCCGGCGACGTGTGTGAAGACGGAGTTCGTAATACCAGGGTCCAAGAATCTGTGTACCGGCCTTCACTGGTAAACTCCCTGCGGCGACTGTTTCCTCCTGAAACCTTTGGTCCGGGCAGCAAGGCTTGGTGACGCTCTGCGATGATGGTGGCAGATTGGCGGTTCACTCACCTTCCTCTCCGGCGGCGGATGCACCGGCTCTCACCTGCATCCTCCTTCATGTCCTAGCCGTCTGGTGGTATCGCGGCTACCTGGAGTCACACACGAGCAGTTTCCTTCTACTTCTCCACTGCCTACTCCCAACGCCGGCCCAACGAGTTCACCGGCGGCCGTAAGTGCTTCTCTTCTCCCGGCTCTGTTTTCGTTTCTCTGCTTTGCGCAGCTCGTAGATGGAAACACAAGGGTATGCAGAGGTTTCAAGCAGATCTTCACGCTCCTCTTCTCGCTCTGTTTCTTTTCTCTCTTTCTTTTCATGCGACGCATACGTACTGACGTTGTTCGTAGATCGAGTTCTGTGGTTCAGACTTTTGGTTTTTGTGTTGTTCGTAGGTTTTGTACTGAGGCGGCTTCCATCATTAGGTATTTATACGCACGTTTGGAAAGTTCTAGGGTTTCAGTTTCACTCGACGTCGCTGGTTCTAGTAGCCCAGCCCAACGCCGCATATGACTTACTATTACTATGTACATGTACATGCGTTATACTCAGGAGCTCCATATCTATACATTAAATATGTATTACGTATGTATGGGCGTGGCATATATGTATACTATACTATGTCATGCATCCGGCCAGCATGCATACGTGTGATTTATGGGTTGAAAGTCAACTGCATTATTGTTATTTTGCTACTACGTTTTTGTATTAATGTTATGTATCTTTTCTTTCCTTGTTTGCCAAAAACATATGGATGTACAAGTAATAACATGTAGGTATGTTTTACGCATTATAGGGTATAAAAATGTACCTCATACCCTACTAATATATCATTTTAGTACATGTATAATTTTTGTTCGAAATATGTTAAAATACCACTTTTAAGTTGCAGTTCATATGACTTACCTAATTATCACTAAAATGCCCTTTTTTGTTATTAATTAAATTCACAATTATATCAGGTTTATCATTTCTTTTTGTCACCTTTATCATTTGCTAAAATTTTATCTGGTTGATAAAATTATCTATTTTATTTTATTTAAATTTTTGAAGTGTCACATTCTACCCTCCTTAAAATATGCTTCGTCCCGAAGCATAAGCTCAAATAAAATTTCAAGTATTACATTCTATCTCCCTTAAAAGAATGTTTCGTCCCCGAAGCATAACTCTAAAATTTTCTTAGGAGTATTTCTATTCAATTTTCTACTCAATCACATACATAGGAGCAAATATGCACATATGCCCTAGAGTTCTTCTCACTAGTACTAATCAAGTCTTTTGAGCAACATAACATCAATACGCCTATCTTTATTAGGCAACAATCAAAGTTCACATGATTTCACATAATTCTTATGTCATCAAAATTAATCCAACATAAATAATAACAAATTAGACATCCCACCATCTCACCGCGATCCTAAGCCTTAAACTTTATTCCTAATCAGGTTCTTTAATCCTAATTAATAAAATAATTAAGTCACTTAAAAAAAAGTTTTAGAAAACCTTTAAATGATTTTGAAAACATTTAAAATATTTTGAAAAACATAGGCTCTGATACCAATTTGTAACACCCCCAAATTTCCCACCCAAAACGTTGATATAATTGAAATAAAACCTTTATTTATCGATAATGAAAATTTAAAGAAAGTACAGCGGAAGTCTTAATAAGGGAAATGGGTGTTACCGCCACATCCGGTCATCTCTCAACCGGATGCACAGGCAACTAAAACATAACAACTAATTTAATAAAAATAAAGTGTTTGTAAAGTAAATGTTTATTTCATGACTAGTATAACTAAGGCGACTTCTAATTCGCTCTCGGACCATGCAAGCAATCATCAATCGACAGAATCATCCTCACCTGCACAAATAAAGTGCAGAAACAAAACAAGGAAAAGAAAACAAAAATTTGCTTTAGAGCTAAGTAAGTACTACCCAACCCCGTAAAATAATCATGTTTGACTAAAATAGATTGATGGATAGTCTACCCGGGGGTATATATCCGAAGGGTTATTACGGGGAATAACTTAGAGAGGAGTCAGAGCAAGTAAGTAAAAGTAGAGAGAGAATGTATTCAGTATGAATGCCGTTTTCAGCGTGGTTACAAATGAGGAAATGGGGTGCTATTTATAGTAGCAATAAATGCCGGGCAGGAACACGTGTCAAGCGCTCATTGGCCGAGGGGTCACCTCAACTGGTTGGCGCTGGCAGCCGCATGTGGCCGCATTCAATGCGGCTGTTGGACGGGACGTCTGTGCGGGGTACGGTGATCTGTACGCATGTGAGGCGGATATCTTGTCGAGTGAGATGCCTTCGGCTATAGAGCAGTAGCCGAGGGCTCTTCCACCCGATGGCACCCTGGTGCCGAGGGCTCACAGTGCCGAGGGCTACTGTTTTCGCCATTTTCTCCCAGTTTCTTAATTTT